TTCCTTGAAGTTACAGGTGGGGATTCCTTGTCACTATTGCTACTTGAGGATGTTTTTCTCTTTCTCTCTCTAACTTTCCCTTTGATTCCTTTCTCCTGAGGCTCTTCCTCACTCTCACTGGAAGACTCACTGCTGGATGAACCCACATCCACATCACTGTCATCACGGTCCAAGTTGGGATCAACAACAGCAGACTCCTCATAACCATCTTTCTCTTCCCTGACTTCTGGAACCTCCTGTGATTGCTCCTGCTGTTTCTTGACCCATTCTTTGGCCTTTGCTAACAAGAGCAGTGATGGTTTGGCTGCCTCATCATCTGGGAAAATGTAGTCTATGTATTCCTCCCATCGAGCTTGTGAGCCATCTTCTGTTGTGACCTGTCGTCGACGTGTGACCTTTCTGGGCATCAGCTGTTTCACTTTTCCTGCGCTTGCATCATCTCCAAATTCTTCTTCAAATTCCTTCCAGGCTTCTAGCAGCATTAAACGCTGTTCTTTTTCCTGGCAAGAGCGCAAGACACGATTGGCTTTCTGGAAGACTGCCCTTGCATGGACAACATTATCTTCAACTGGCATTGAATGTTCACACTTGGCATAGCTAATCCAAACTTTAACATGATGAGTACGCTCTAGAAGACGTTCATACAGGTTCCTTACATTATCCCATTCTTCTTGCTCCACCTGGAACACAGTAACAATTAGATATAATGAGAGATTTTGATAAAATCTTAGTATTCAAACCCTATACAATCATATAATATGATTTTAGATCATGCTAGTAATTTTCTCTTAACATTTCAAGATTGAACAAACTTGAAACAACAGGATACCTACAATTATGTAAGAAAAATTATCATGAAACCTTCTAGTTCCACTATTATTTCGTTTTTACTCCTGACGTACATTTACTATATCTACTAATTTTTTTATGACACATCACATTTAATGAATTAAAAAAAAAAAAGGAAGAAAAAGAAGAGTAAATGCTAACCTCAAAATCAATATATGACTTCCACAAGTACTCAGGCATATCAAGCCTGGGCTGAGCAATGGCCAGCTCATATATGCCCCTTGCGCGCTGATCATCGTTCAGCATGGCCTCAAGGGTTGAAAACTGGATCCACATCTTGCAGTTTTCTGGGTCAAACTCAGCCCATTTCTCATACAACTTGCGGCAACGGTCAAACTCACGTAGCTTGATTTCCAGGTCAATATATCCACGGAAAAGTTTATGCTTGGGACACATACCTAGAGCTTGACCCTGTGAGGTGGGTAAGAAAAATATGATTGCACCTAAAAAGAATAATACCTAACTCTTCATTAGCACCAACAATTGATACTTATTACAATGCAAATGCTTGCGGCAAAATATATGGCTAAGACTATCTTGGAAAATTATTCTTCAAAAGGATTTAAAGGTAAGCCAAGTTTAAAGCTGACTAAAGAAAGACTTTAAAAACAGAAATACCACACAAAAAAATTTAAAAACAGAAATACCCCATAAAAGAGATTTTTAAAACAGAAATACCACACAAAAAGCTTTAAAAACAGAAACACCACATAAAAAAAGATTTTTAAAAGAGAAATACCATGTAAAAAAGATTTTTAAAACAGAAATACCACATAAAAAAAAAAAAAAAAAAAAAAAAAAAAAAAAAAAAAAAAAAAAACAGAAATACCACATACATAAAGTAAAGGGAATTACTAACAAGAGGAAATAATTTAGTAAAAAATTCAATTCACTGTCCTTTTTCCATTATGAAAATTTGAGATATGACCATTAAAGTACTCTAAAATAAATTTTATACAATAGTTTGTGTATTAACCAACACATATGCAACATGTATGACATACCAGAGCTTTTCTTGCTGCTGCCAAGTCTTTTTGACGAATTTCAAACTTGGCATATAATAACCAAATTTCTGCAAAGGTAAAAATTTTGTGTGGAATTAGGCGTATGCACATTTGGTAGACCTGACGTGCTCTTTCCATATCTTTTGTGCTAAGTTCTTCAAATACTGCATAATAAATCCAAAGGTAGATATATCTCCGCCAGTGCCGTTTTTCCTGAAAATACAAAGGAACTAATTATAACACATATATAATAATTCTGCAACTAAATTATGAATGTCATAAACAGCTATCCTGGACAAACATTTAATCCACACACCTTTATTCCAAGAATATAATGCCATTAACATGACACAACAAACACACCTTTATAGGAGGTACACAGGCTATTGCTCTCTCATAAGTCTCTCGTATGAGGTCCACGTTTCCATCCGCTTCCAGCATTCTCACATAGTCAAACCAAGTGTCATAATCATGGGGATTGACCTTTACAGCTTCTTCATATTGGAACTTTCTCTTACTAGAGATCACATCATCAATAGAAGATTTGTCTCCATACTTCTTTTCGTGACGAGTATATTCATTGTAGAGAGTGAGACACTTTTCTTTGGGCATGTGGTCAAGGGCATATCTGTAGATAGCTCTTGCCCTGTCATGCTCCTTCTGGCCTTCTTCAAACTTGGCAAAGGCAATGAAAAGGTTTTCATCAAAGTGATCATCTCCATAGAATTGTATTGCCCGTTCATAAACACGTCGGGCACTCTGTATGTAGCCATGATTTTCTTCAAAGTGAGCATACTTTATCCAATTTTTAGGTTCTGGGTGGACATAAACAAACCTCTCGTAGATTGTTCTGGCTCTGTCTAATTCTTTGTAACGTAGTTCAAATTTGATATAGGTTAGCCAGGCTTGCTCATCTGGTTCCCATTCCATCCAGCGTTCGAAGATCTGTAAATATTTCAGTATATAATATGTGCAATACCTCTTTTTCATTTCTCTATTTCATGAATCGATTCTGGCATAAAATGTGGGGCTTAAAAAGGAATGATCAAATAAGTGCATCAGATCTCAGTAATGAGAATGAGAACATGTGTAGTTAAAACCTCACCTGACGACCACCAGCAATATTTTTCAGCATTTCCTCCATGTATGTGAACTTGTACCAAAACTGATTTGCTCTAGGTAGGATGGTTACTGCTCTGTCCCAGACATTTCTTGCATGATTCACCTGCAAATATTTAATATCATAAAAGCAGGTTTAATGAAAGGAATTAACTTTTTAAATATAATTTTCAAAATAATGCAACACATACCATAAGATTCACATTACAATCATAAATATTTATACAACTACTAACCTGACGGTTCCTCATCTCCATCTCTGCATATTTTAGCCATAGTGTAATGTTTCTGTGATCTACATCCAGAGCTCTCTCATATACAGACCTATTACACAAGAGAGAATTTGTGAAATTAGCAAAAAGGTTATTACCATATATGCATATACATACCAACATCCATACATATATATGTATGTGTATCTGTATCTGTATGTGCATATGTACATTATACATTACACATACTTATGTATATGTGAACTCTATATGTAATGTAGCGTATGTGTGTGTGAGTGTGTGTATGTGTGTGTGTGGTGTGTGTATGTGTGTATGTGTGTGTGTGTGTGTGTGTGTGTGTGTGTGTGTGTGTTGTGTGTGTGTGTGTGTGTGTGTGTGTGTGTGTGTGTGTGTGTGTGTGTGTGTGTGTGTGTGTGTGTGTGTGTGTGTGTGTGTGTGTAAACACATATATATTAAAATGGGAATGTTTTAGCATTAAATAAAGAAGCTTCACTGCCTATGACAAAAGCATTACACCAACCTTGAGCGTCGAATTTCTTGCTGCTCTTCCTCCCATTTAGCATATTTGATCCAATTTGAGATATTGCCTCTGTTCTTACGGATGTTATCTTCAAATGCCTTCCTTTTCTTCAGTCGATATTCTTGGAGCTCTTCTGGATCAGAGATCTTTTGGCGAGGAGGTGGTGGGACAATCTCTAATTCTCTCTCTTTAGCCTCCCTAAGCAGCTGTTCTGCTGTGATTTGGAGTTCAGCAGGTGATTTATCCTTCACCTGAGGGAAAAACAATGTTTGAAAGATAAAAAATATAAGGATTGGTAAATCTTGAAGAGTGTATTTCAAAGAATTAAAGAACACATATAACAACACTAATAGCTAGAGCAAACAAATTGCAAGAAATGAAGGTAAGTCATGATATGCGCCTGATGCATTGACACAAGTGCTCATTGTGGCCTCTGTGCCCTCAGCCTTTCAACAAAACGACAACATGCCTCCATTATATATATTCTGACAAGATAGAGCTTGAGGACCACTCTAAAGATCTGGCATTAAATGAAAAAATAGTCTAAATTCTAGCTTGCTGAATATGTGGAAGTCTGTTGGCCATTGCTGTAGTGCCATAGATGTGGAGGCCACAGTTATTGCTGTGGCAAATGTGGTCCTAAGTTTAATAATTACCAAATAACTTTTTCAATTTGATTTTCAGAAATACTAGAACATTAAGTTAAAAAATCAGGTGAATTAAGATGAAATCACATTCAGTCCACATAAAATCACACATAGTCTAGTACTGCAAAGATTAAATGATATGTAAGTGAATACCCTTTTTCAGATATAAAGAGAACTTTTTCAGCTGTCTTATTTTTCAGTGTTAAAAATGCATACAATAGATACTACTAAATATTATAAGATTTTTTAAAAAGATCATTGATATATTACAAAGTTCAATAAGACAGATTTTCCACACAACACATATATATTCTATCTATCAATTGCATCTACCATTTTTAATTGTACACTTCTGTAATTGTAACCAAGAAAAAAAAGGGAAAACAAGTGTTTATCAGTGCCTCTATCCTACGCTGTGCATAATCATTTATTATTTCTATACGGAAACGTTCCTTTAATATATAAATTTCCTTGAATAATTGCTTACCTTTGCCACTTTGGGCATTTTCTGTGGTTTGCTGGTCATGATGTACTAGGTATTTTATCAAATCTTATAGACCAGAAATTGTCAGAGGAACACACTCGAGCTTGATGGTAAACAACTTCGAGGGGCTACGAACGTAACACAAACCTGTAAAATACGTTTCTCCGGACGTATTTCTTTTTTCATACATATGAATTGTTTTTTGGGCATGGATATATATTCATCTACACTTAATAAATGAACAAAAAATAGTACGCTTTGATGCACTGTGAAATTATTTTTCTAGTGTTGGTGCACTATTTCAAATAGTCACTGATGATTACTACAAAGAAATTCACCTTAGAGACATGACTCTGGGGTTATCTACTTCTAGGGTTCTTTTACAGTCGGCTGATGTATTGAATTTCAGCCTATGTTTTGCATTTCTTGATAATCATTTGCATTCTGTTCAACAAATCCATTCCGAGATATTTTTGAGGGCGTGGGTGTAGCAAGAGGGGCTTCATTCTTTAGTTTGATGAAAAATACATATGGCATATTTTTACTTATTTAACTTAAAGACATTGAAAATCAAACAGAATGCACAAAAATGTATACACTTCTCTCTGATTAACACTAACATCTTGCCCAATTTTGAACACCCTTGTTCATATCGTGCCAAACTAATTTGTGTCATGATTTTAACACTAGAGTGTCCTTGTTGGTGTTGAGGCTGAATGCACAGGAGTGACATTCACAGCTGGGTTGTCCTTACCTGGCACGGATTCGGCGATGCTGTACGGGTGCGGTGTTGATAACTCTGAAGAAGGCAAGGGCCAGCAGTTGATGAAAGGAGTGCCTTTCAGGAGGAATTTGAAAGAGTAGATTGTGGCAGGACATATCTATGGAGGTTTACTCATTGACGACCTCGAGTGCAATAAAGCTGGCATCAAAGGTGAGGGTACCAGTGATTGGAATACCAAAGTTGTGGCAGATTTGAGGGTGTTAATTCGATTACTAAATGCTCGTTATTGGTTATACTCCCACCCCAGCTTCTATGGTTTCCAGCCATGGACGTTGCAGATGGGAAAGCGGAAAAAAGAGACCCTAGTTTCAACCAAGAACCAAGAAAAGGTGTTGGTGATGTACAATCCAGGACCTGACGTGCAGAAGGTGTGGATCAGGGCGCTATTGTTCTGCATTGCAGCGGCTTTGTAATGTATTTTCAGGTTATGGCTCCAGTCGTTGATTATTAATTGGCTGTCAACAACAGTGTGTTGGAGGGGTCCTTCTCTCTCGTGGAATACCGAAGTTCACACAAATATACACGTTCTGGTGCTTCAGGAGCCAAGATCTACATAAGGCCTTGCCGCCCCACCACATCAAGATGTGAGAAAACACCGCTTCTCCTCGAGGAGCGCGCAGTATTCATGTTCTCAGACTGTGACCTTCAGGTGGCATTCATGTGCCACCTTGGGCTTTCCTCCGTTGATGAGTCCTTCACCTCTCGGTGGCTAACTCACACGATCTGATACTCACTATCTACACACTGAACGGGGCTTCGGGTATCAATCCTCAACGGGCCACCAGAGCTCGGAGGAACAGTTCTTCGCTCTCCGTCAAACCACCTTCAAAGTCTGAGAGCTGCCAGGGAATCTCCCCTTCGAAGGACGACGATGCGCGGCCTCTTAGACAATGTATCTCTTCGTGCTCCCCGCCCTCCGCAGGAGTTCTGGACCCTGTTTCGCTTGGTACGGGCCCGGGCGCTTCACCTGATGACATCTTGTGTGACAAAGGAGAAAACCTATGGGCAGACACCCTGTGGTGGATCAACCTCTGGACACGGCTGTTTGTGGATCTGTCTACGGTAAGGCCTCCCAAAACAAGAAGGTTGACAGGTTGAGAGAGTGGTGACGCCTGACGTTTGGTCAGACACTTTGGACGGGTAGGAGAGCACATGACTGTGTCCTCCACCACTAATGACCATTTTACGGGTGGTTTGACTGCTGAGGCCTTTCCTGCTTGCTTCGTGGTGGGAGTCCGAGCTATGGTTCCACAAGGTGATCTGGCGAGGTCTTCATCTCCTCCTCTGACTGGGGATGGTACTGCAAGAGGCTCCCGCCACTCAGGTCATGAGGTCCTTACAAATTTATGCATCAAGTTTCTGCACCAAATGTCATTATTAATAATAAGGGTTTACTCCCAGGTGACAGGTGAGGCCGATTCAGACAAGGCCCCTCGGGTATGCCTTGTCGCTAGCTTTCTTGCGCTGATTTGATATTACAGTACGCGAGTGCAGGAAGTAGGACGCTGGGTGTTCTGTATGTCGTCTGACGTCCAATGTGTAGCATATATGTATATATATATATATATATATATATATATATATATATATATATATATATATACACACATACATACAAATATATATACATACACGCGCGCGCGCGCACACGCACACACACACACACACACACACACACACACACACACACACACACACACACACACACACACACATATATATATATATATATATGGAGAGAGGAGAGAGAGAGAGAGAGAGAGAGAGAGAGAGAGAGAGAGAGAGAGAGAGAGAGAGAGAGAGAGAGAGAGAGAGAGAGAGAGAGAGAGAGTGAGTGAGTGAGTGAGTTTGCTTTAATGG